AGTAGTAGTAGTAGTAGCAGTAGCGTCGTCGGAGTCGGAGCATAGGAGCATAGGAGTACAGGACTAGGAGTAAGAGTAGAAGTAGGAGTGGCAGTAGCCATAGCAAGAGCAGTCGCAGTAGCTGCAGCAGTGGCACTAGCAGTAGTAGCGGCTGCCGCAGTACCATCAGCAGTAGCAGTAGTAGCAGTANNGTAGCAGTAGTCGTTGTCGTCGTCGTAGTAGCAGCAGGAGCAGGAGTAGGCGTAGCAGTAGCAGCAGTAACTCGTCGCGCCGCAGTAGTAACTGGTTACAAGCAATGGTTTTCAGGGGTCTCTTAACTGAAGAGAGTTGGTATTGCTACTACGACAACGATACTCCACATATTCACGGGGCCACAGGCAGTTCAGCCATTGTTCAAGGCCACCGCGGCTTCTGTGAAGCAATGTTTCCCATAAAGGCCGATGATACAAGGATTCTAAGTTCATCTTCAGCAAGTTCGGGGCTTCTATGGAAATGAGAAACGTCCAACACTCCTTGCGTCCTAGACAGACCTGCAGGCAGAGAACCGATGTAACACACGCAGGTACCATACACAACCTGTCCAAGCCTTCCAAGTGTAAACCTCAACAGACCTCCACCTCCAACCCTGAACCCCGAACATCAATCCCGATGAACAAGTGCTAAACCCAGGAAGCCCTCTTTCACAAGACGGCAATGACAAACGGGCCTCCGGCTTTCCCACCACGAGGCTTTGCGTGGCCTGGGCTTTAGGCCAAGTTTGATGGTCCGTTTCGACGTTCCTGCTTATCAAAAAGTTTCATAGCCTTAGTCACATAGCAAAGTGCTTACTCTCGCCTGCGGGTAATTGCAGCATGCATTGCTGGGCAGATGTCCTAGCGTTGCTTGAACCTCTGCATGGCTGCGGAAGAAGAAACCTTGGAAGTAAACAAGTAAGCCTTTAAAGCTCCATGCCGCCCTGCAAGACTAATGTAGGGGCCTTAGTAATTATGGAGTAGGTTTTGGAGGTCTGCTATACTCTAAGTACAATAAGAAACCCCCAAAATAGTATGGGCAATCATTCAGGGCCTTATAGTCACCCCTAAACCCTAAACCCTAAACCCTAAACCCTAAACCCTAAACATAGTAGGTTTGACACCAGCCTCGAAAAGCGCAGTGTACCCAATAGACTTCCATTAGGAGTTCCCAGAGTAGCAAGTGCATATAAAGGGTCCTGATGAGCGACCCCTGAGCGACCCCAAAAACCCTCAACACAAATCCCCACATGCACCATGCATCCGAAGCATTTTGAAAGGGTCGATCATGATTTTCTGAACCTTGTGTTGTTGCCGGAATCTGTAAGTCAAGCCTGCAACATGTGACCAGGGTTGTCGGGTTTTGTAGCCAAGCATTTTGAACACGACTACTAGAGGAGCAATAAGGAACGCAGTCGCATGCACCAGCATAAACCAACTGTTCGGACCCCGACACTAGGCCCTGAAGGTTGTTTCGATCCTGGTGTTCACACCGTCGTTACATGGGTGGTTGTCAAAATTATGGTCCCTTTTTGGGTCCGTAACATAATACGGCACCTAATGTTTAGGTACCCAAGAAGGGACCCTAATTTGGACAACCACCCACATCGCCGTTATAGAAAGACGAAATGCTCTACCTTAGCCCTATCCAGAACCTTTGAACGTGGGTTTGCCTGCTCATTCTGCAGAGTGTCAAACTACCAAGAATGAATCTAGCAAGCTCGATCAAGGTCCATTCAACGTTTGGTCGTCTATGGCTTAGCAGGCTTACGGCTTAAGTTTAACTTCAACGTTTGCTGACGTTAACTCTAAACCCTAAACCCTAAACCCTAAACCCTAAACCTTAAACCCTAATGGGAGACGGGCTCGGCCCTGCCAACGTCAACGGGGCCCCGGCACTTGCGCTGAATCAGGAGCACCAACGGCACAGTCCTTTCCAACTGTCAGTGCATTATATAGGCATCCTCAATCCCGAACTCTGAACCCTGAGAAGCCCCAAAGCTGAAATCCATAACCCTAAACCCTAAACCCTAAACCCTAAACCCTAAACCCGAAACCCTAAACCCTTAAACCTTCAGGCCCTCAAGTCCCAAACACGAAAGCCTAAAACCTTAGCGTCCCAAACCCTTTGAGCCTGAAGCCCTACATCCAAACTGCCATCACTTTAGAACTTGTGCAAAGCCCACGCCTGCACCTGGAAGCTCTGCAAGCCTTGAACAGCTAATGATAGATACCGCGGAGTGCTGATCACATAGTTTGGGAGGCTCCGGTGCAAAGCAAATGGAGCATTGGGCAGCAGAGCACAACATCCCCAAACCCCAAGGTCTTTACCTCGGTTCGGTAGCATCACTATTGGTATTAATGGCGACTGCCCCCCTACTACCGTCTTTCCGCGGCTAGAAAAAATTCTCTTGATGTCACATGATGTTGCTGGGGTGCCAACTGAGTGGGGGGGT